CTGGACCAGCGGTGGCCAGGCCCTCCCTGCTGGCCCCCAGTGCACCCAGCCTGTTCTCACGTTCTGCGGTCAGAGAAAGGAACACCCCCGGCGTCTCAGGGGAGCCGTGAGTCTCCCAAAAACACCAGGGGTCCAGGCAAGCAGCAAGCCTGCGACTCCACCGCAGACCGCTTTGGAGGTGCTGAATGGGGGCTTCCCTGACCCCGTGCAGGGGGTCCTTCCTGCCTACCCCCTGAGGCGAGGAAAGAGGCCTGCATGCAGCAGGGGGCAGACCGGGGACCCCCTGCTCCCTCAAGAGGTGGGCAGCAGAGAGGCCAGACTGTGCTCCCCCATGTTCTCCGGGCAGGCTGGGGTGCCCTCCCTGGGCAGGAAGGAGGGAAGAAGGTCCCGAGGGAGCAGGTGGGGGGGTGTGTTTTAATAGGCATTGCATTGAATCTATAGATTGTTTTGGGTAGTATGGAAATTTTATCGAGGGGCCACTTCCTGTCTGGGGGCCTTGGCCCAGCCACTAGTGCCCTGCAGGTAGCGGCCAGAGGAGTCTGGGAGCAGGATTTGGGGGGGCTCCAGGGGGCTGCTGCCTCCCCCAGGAATTCTCACTCCAAGCAGCCAGGTTCTCAGAAAGGGAGGCCGTGGGGCGGGCTGGGCAGGGGTGTCCGTCCTGCTGGCTGCGGGCCTGAGGGCTGTCTTGTCCTTTTGTTTTCCAAGAACAAAGCCGGAAATCTTGTGAACCTGGAGTCCGAGAGGGCCCGGTGAGGCCACAGCTGGGGCTGGGACAGCTCCTCTCCCTTTTGCCTCATAGAGATTGGCCCTGATGGCAGAGCCGCACGGGACTTGAGGGGGAGGGACTTCCGCTGTCCCTGCTGGGGATGACAGGGGCCTCGGGGCCCCCAGGGAAGGGACGGACAGCGGCTCCTGGGACTTGTGGCTGCGGGGCATTCTCCCGCCTCCAGCGCTTTCTCATCTGAGATTTCCAAGCCATCAGTAGAGGGAAGCCCTTTCTGCTGCGCCCTGGGCTGAGGGGCAGGCCCACCCCCTGACCAGCCCCATCCATCCCCAGCCGGCAGCTGCTGTCCAGATGTTTCAGGGCGTGGCAGCACCTGGTGCGGAGGCGGCAGGCAGCGGCCCTGGGCCAGGGGCGGCTGCTGCGCAGGGGTCTTCGGCTCCGGGAGGCCCACCTGGAGGTGGTGTGTGGTGGACAGAAGAGGGCCCTTCTGGCCCAGAGCTTCCAAAAGGTCAGGGACCTCCAGGTTGGGTGGAGGGGAGGGGCTGAAATGCTGGTGTGCTCGGAAGGTTCCTCTGGGGCTCAGGTCCTACCTTCTGAGTGACCCCCAGGGGGGCGCGCCGACACCTGAACCAGCTCTGCCTCAGCTCATATCCGGCCTCTGCTGCTGTCTTTCTTTCTTTCACACTTTCTGTGAACCAGCTCTGCCTCAGCTCATATCCGGCCTCCGCTGCTGTCCTTTCTTTCACACTTTCTGGCTGGGCGACTGTGGGCAAGTTACCTAACCTCTCTGTGCCTTCGTCTTGTATCTCTAAAATGGGATAATTGAACATACTCCTCAGGGTAGTGGTGAGGTTAAATGAATGAAGGGACTCAGCACTTGCCCAGCACCTAGCTCGCACTCTGCCACATACTGTAAGAGCTGCTGTTTTCCGCGAGGGGTTTGCAGGCCAGGACTGGGAGGGCTCGTCTGTGCTCTTCCCTCCTTGGGAAGGGGGTGCTCTGGGAGGACCCAGCTCCAAGTTCGGTCTCCCAAGGAGAGCCCTGCCTCTGGGGCACCCTCTCTCCACTCACTCATGCATTTCCAAGGAGTCTGGTGGTTGAGACCATAGGCTTTGGAGTCTGATAGAAGTATTTGGCCCCTGTCCCTACGCCTCCCTGGTGCTCCCTCTGAGGGCACATTGGAGGCTGCAGCCAACGTCCCTCTTCCCTTCTCTCCTGATCCAGTGGAGACACCGGACTCAGCAGCAGAAACAAGGGCAGCCCCACTTCCAGGCTGGCCCAGGACCCCCACCCTCTGGGGGAGGCCAGCCCCCAGGTCCCTCAGGAAGGAAGCCAGGGGTGGACCCCGCCCAGAGAAGCAGGTAGGTGGGGACACCCCAGTTTGGTCAGTGTGGCTGGGCAGTGCTGGCAGCCTCCCTCCTCGTCCCCCGTCCCTCTCCCCAACAAGAGAAGGAGGATGCAGCCAGCAGACGTGGACACAGATTTGTGCAGAAAGATGTCCGTCACAGCATTATTTATCCTTGTAAAAGCGTCAATAAAATATATTTTAAAAAAGAGAGAGAGAAGGAGGATGCAACCAGCAGACGTGGACACAGATTTGTGCAGAAGGAGGTCCATCAGAGCATTATTTATCCTTGTAAAAGCGTTGACACAGCCTCAATGCCCAGTGAGTGAGAAAATTCCCATTTAACAATGTGATGACTATTTGACAACCATTCCGCATGGTATTTATGAAGATTTAAAATTTTTCTCCCCACTCTCTTTTCCTTTATTTTTCTTTTCAATACTTTTAATTTTTTATTCCTAATCATGACAGTCATGCATGCTTGATTTGAAAACACATCCAATATCGTTGGAAATTTCATCCCCCTCCATGGATCCCCATTCCCGAAAGTATTTTTATGGACATGTGTGTAGAATTTTTGATGACAAGGAACAATGGTTATGACAATGTTAAATGAACAAAAAAAAAGGAATAAATAGTATCTAAGATATTTTTCTGTGCACCTAAAAAACAGTGCATAAAAAAAGACCAGAAGAAAAAGACTAAAATGTTGCAAAAGGAATAAATAGTATCTAAGATATTTTTCTGCGCACCTAAAAAACAGTGCATAAAAACACAGAAGAAAAAGACTAAAATGTTGTACAATAATGCAAATGGACTTAACACTACTGAACTGTCCACTTAAAAATGGTTAAGATGGCCCTAGCCGGTTTGGCTCAGTGGCTAGGGTCTGAAGGGTCCTGGGACTGAAGGGTCCCAGGTTCAATTCTGGTCAAGGGTACCTACCTTGGTTGCAGGTTCCTCCACGGCCCTCAGAGCACGTGTGGGTGGCAACCAATTGACATGTCTCTCTCACATCGATGTTTCCCTCTCTTTGTCTCTCCCCCTCCCTTTCACTCTCTAAAAATCAATGGAAAAATATCCTTGGGTGAGGATTAACAACAACAACAAAAATGATTAAGATGGTGACCCCAACCTCCAAAAAAATAAAATGCAAATAGTGCTTATTTCTGCAACAGAGGGATTAAGTTGGCTATTTTTTTCATTTCCTCAATTTTCCACTACTGTGATGTATTGTTTTTGTTCTTATTTTTAATTTTAAAAATGGGTTTAAAATAATTTAAATAATATCCATAGAATACATGTTTGTTGTGAAAAATCCAAATAGTATTGAAGAGAGTGAAGCAAAAGCAGAACCCCCTCCCCAGGGCCCTTGTGTGATCAGGGATGAGTGCACTGCCTGGAAGAGAACAGCAGGTGGCTCAGCTCCCCGTGCTCCTGCGGGCGGGCCGGATCCGCTGGGCTGGGGTGGACAGTTGGATGTGTGACCTCCCTGGGCCCTGGGCATCAGTTTCTCTCTGGGCAACTTCACTCTCAGCCCAGGGAGCCTGAGGGAGGAGGCAGGACCCCGGCCAATTCCATCACGTTCTGGGCCGAGACCAGATGGAGGAGATGGGAGAGTCCAGATCCTGCTGGCCCTGCAACGACTGGCTGGTGAGATGTGGGGCCCTGGGAAAGCGGGGCAGACGGAGCTGGGCAGGGCTGAGTCCCCACACAGGGCAGGGGAGGGCAGGGGGTCCTGAGTGGATGAGTGTTCACTGAGCACCCACGCTGGCAACTTCCCAGACACGATCTCGTTTGAGCCTCACGGTGACCTCGGCAAGGTGTTGCGCCCATTTCACTGATGGGAAGACTGAGGCACAGAGTAATTAAGGGACTGGCTCGCAGACACACAGTGATATTGGTGTGCCACCAACGCTGGCACAGGCCCAGCAGGAGCTTGAATGTTAGACCTGGGAAGTCGCTTAGACATCATTCGCTCACAGGGAAACAAGCCCAGAGATGAGGAGGTGTCCCAGGTGTCAGTGGCCCTCCTGGCCCTGATCCTCCCCTCTGCTCACTCCCTCTCTCACCCCTCCCTTTACAGTCTTCCTCCTGCGGTGCCAGCAGGAGGAATGGGCCAGACAGGAGAAGGGGGTCCAGGGAGAGGCCTCCGGGGCCACACTGAGGACTCAGAGCATGGGGAGGCGCCCTCAGGCCTGGTGCTCTCCTGCCGCAGATACAGCCTGGGTGCCCCCCCTGGCTCCCCAGCATCAGAGAGCCTGGCTCCGCAGGTAGGCAGAAGGGGGAGGGGTGGGAGGAGGACCGCCTTCCCTGAGGCGGAAGTTGACTCCTCCTTGTCTTGAGAGACAAAGATGAAAGAGAAATGAAAACAGCTGTGGTTTACGGAGAGCCTGAGACCTGCTAGAAACCACCCAGGAGCTGGGGGTTAGTTATAAGCTGAGTACCAGTCGTCACCTGTCCCACGTGGAACCCCTGGCCAGGTGGGGGACAGACAGGAAATTAGCGGTCACAAGGAGGGGGGGGGTGTGAACACCCCCTGAGTGTAGTGTTGTGAAGGGAAGAAACACGGATCTATGAGTTTTCTTCCTTGTTGTTAACGTTTAAATTACGGAACATTTTGTCTTACACAAAACTAAAGAAAAGGGGATAACACGCCTGTGTATCACCCAGCTTCGAGGGAGTCATCTCCTGAGAAGGCTCCTTTCGGATGCGCTCCGACTACTCCCCCTCTACGTTACCGTGACGCAAACCCCAAGCCTCACACCATTCCACCCATAGCTATTTCCGTAGCTGCTCTGAAAGATAAGGACTCTTGTACACCACCTGACCGCATGCCATGCTCACACCTGGAAAACGAACAGTAATTCCTTAATCCCAGCAAGGATCTGCTTAGCATTCGGATCTCCAGTTGTCTTACAAGCATCCATCTTGTTCCAGTTTGTTTAAATCAGGATCTAAATTAGGTCCACATGCTGGAATTGGTCGAGAAGTCATTCGTCTTTGTGGGCTGTGGGCCCCCTGAACTCTTTTTCCTTGCAATTTGCCTGCTGACGAAACCTTATAGCTGCCCGCTGCCTGCATTTTGCTGATTGCATCCGCCTGAGAGTTTTTCCTGTGAGAACGTTTAAACTGAGGGTGCTGACCGCGACCAGGGTTGAGCGGAGGTGCGAAGGATGAATGGTTGACTAGCGGAGGGAGAGCGGGTGAGAGCGCCAGGCAGAGGGAACAGCATGTGCAAAGGCCCGTGACAGCGAAGCACAGAAAACTCCAGGAACAGCAGACAACTTGCAGCCCTGTTAGTGCGGGGGGAGGAGGGAGTGGTTTGGGGGGGGGCGCCGGGAATGGTTTGAGATGAAGTTGGAAAGGTGTGGGGAATCTTGCAGGCTTGGGGAGGGGTTGACATTTTATCATACAAGCAAGGGGCTGCCACTGGAGGATTTCAGCAAGGGGAATAAAATGATTTGATTTGAGATTTTTTTAAAAAATCACTCGGTTACTGAGTAGGAACTGACTGGAGGGGCCACGAGTGGATGAGGGCAGCCAGGTAGGAGGCTGCGGAGGCCACCCAGGCACGTGGAGGTGATGGTGTCAAGTCCTTCCTGCAGCCCCATTTTACAGATGAGAGAGCTGAGGCCCCTAGAGGGGAAGTAGTGAGTCTGGCGCTTGACAGAGGCTGTGGCTCTGGCCTTTACAACCAGCGCCTGCAGTTCCTCTGGGCGCTCCCAGGTGCTTCGGGGCCTGGCGGCGGTCGGTGAAAAGAGGGGCCCAGCCCCGGGAGCACCTGGATGACTGCCAGATGGGAACCCCGAGGACGTGCCTGAAACAGTGGGTGTGGATGAAGCAGCTCCGGGCATCGGATGGGACGAAGGTGACCCAGCTGTCCCTCTGCCGGCAGAAGGTGGGTGAGTGAGGAGACTGAGGGCTCCTCTTCCCTCCACCCCCGTCACTTAAGGTCCTGCTGCAGGGGGCGGAGGTGAATTGTGGATTATTGAAATGGGAGGTGAGGGAATTGGGACCTTCCTCAGGGTGCAGCCTGGTGGGCCTGGGAGGGTCCAGGAGGGGTCCCGGGAGTGGGCGCGCCCTAGCGGGACCTTGTTCCCATCGTGAGCTCCTCTAAGCCAGAGGCTTTGTTCATCTTCCACCAGGAAGGGATGTGGCCCCTGCTCCCCGGAAGCGCCTGTGGTGAGTGGAGGGCACAGCCTCTGTCCCCACCAAAGCCTGGCCAGGACAGATGGGATCTTTGAGGTGCCTGGAGGGGGGAGGGTTTGGGGTGTGGGAGGGTGAAGTGCCTATGAGTGGAGAGGTCTTAGGGGAGGGCCTGAGGCTGCAGCCATTAATGACTTTGGGCAGAGAGAGGTCACGGGGGGACCTGGCTGATGTGTCTCTTAACTGCTTCTCAGGGAACATGGACCTGGGCAGCTCAGCCCCTGGAGGCCTGAGGTGGGTGTCCCAGGCCCAGGGGCTGCCCCAGGAGCGTGGCCAGGGCTCCCCGCAGAAAGCCTGCCCTCCACGGGCCCTCCACGGGGTGCTGCTGCTCTGGAGGGCGAGGCTCTCCCAGCGCCAGCGGGCTGAGTAGGTGTCCACAGCGTGGGCGTGGGCCTGGGGCCGGGTGGGCCCATGAGCGGTGCTCCCCCCAGTGGCTCCAGCAGGGGGCCTGGCACACATGGTACCCAGCAGGTGTGGGGGCAGGGGAGGTAGCCCAGGGACACTGAGACAGTGACTGAGCAGAGAGCTGTGGGGACAGACACCGAGTCCTACCCAGGTGGCTGGAACCTGATGGGGAAGTTGATCTAAAGCTCCTCCCTCTCCAGCCTCTAGAATCGCCTCTCTCCCAGCTCCCAGCTCAGTGGGAGCCTCCTGGGCCAGGAACTGTATCTGTCTCCTCGCCTCTGTCTCCGCACCGCGCAGGGGCCCAGCCTGCGGCAGGCACGGGATAAATACTGTAAATGAATATGTGAATGATCTCTCACCCCCTGCCCCAGTGTGCCTCACTATAGGCTAGGGAAATGGAAGCTCAGAGGGCCGAGCAGTTGCTTTAAGTCACACTGTGAACCAGGGGCAAGAAGGTGGATTCAGAGCCCAGGCTGATTAATGGTTTTGTGTGAGGGGAGGGGAGGAGCCAGCCTCCCTCCCAGGACATCAGGTGTATGTAAGCCAGCCGTTGCAGGGTTAAGAATTCTGCCCTTCCTAGCTGGTTTGGCTCAGTGGATAGAGCATCGGCCTACGGACTGAAGGGTCTCGGGTTCAGTTCTGGTCAAGGGCATGTACCTTGGTTGCGGGCACATCCCCAGTGGGGGGTGTGCAGGATGCAGCTGATCGATGTTTCTAACTCCCTATCCCTCTCACCTTCCTCTCTGTAAAAAATAAATAAAATATATTAAAAACAAAAAGAATTCTGCCCTTGAAATGGGCAGAATGGATGCACCTGGCATCCATCAGTCCCACACCTATTTGGTCCACTTGGACCCTCAGTCTCTTTTAATGCACCCCTCGAACTCCAGGGAATCTCAGTTCACCACAACCCTTCAGCATGTAGCCCTTCTACGTCCAGCCCGTCCTGTGCCTCCGCATCAGGGTATGGCCGGCCTCTCCCTGTGGCACACCTTTGCTGCCCGTGGCCCGAGATGAGTGTTCGGGTCCAAGGTCTGCTGCTATGTGGGGCTTGAGGAAATGCCTTTCCCCAGGCCTCCGCGTCCCTATCTTCATTACTGAGTGGAAGTAGGAGTACTAGTGCGGTTAGGCCGGTGGCCGCTTGAGGCTGGGGTCCCTGGACCTGGGCCCAGTCCCATCCCTCACCCACCCGGGAGCATGTCACCGTCAGCCAGGTGACCAGCACAGGTGGGGCTCAGCAGAGTCACCTGGGAACTGAGGAAACACCAGGAAGCCCAGGCGGCGCCCAGGCCACTGGACCAGGATCTCCGGGGGTGGGACCCTGGGCATCCGTGTTTCTTAGGGCCCAGTGGTCCAGTGTGGGCTGGTTTGGGAGGCGGGGGTGCAGAGCTCTGGCCAGGTGTTTGGCACGTGGCAGCACCGTCCAGCTTGGCTCTTTCCAGGGGCCCGGCTGGGGTAGCCCCTGCTTAGCAGTCACTCCAGCCAGGGGGTGAGGCTGGGGCTGGGGAGCTCATCTGCCCCTTCCTATAGCTCCTTCTCCCAGGGCGTGCAGCGGCGGCTGCTAAGACGCGTCCTGAGGGCGTGGCGCTTGAGGGTGTGGGGACCAGGCAACCCGTCAGGCAGTGCCAGGACCACCTCGGCCTCAGAACTGCTGGGCAGCACAGCCCCAAGCCCACCGGAGAAGGTGAGCGGCAGGGGCTGGGCTGAGCCAGGGTGGGTGGGGGACACGTGGGAGGACAGGGTGAGGATGGGCAGGGACCGGGCACCCAGGAGTCCACACTCCCTTCCCCAGGCGTCCAGGGCCTCCGCCCTCCTGGAGACACTTCAGCTGAGCTTTCTGTGGGCAGCTGGGCGGCAGCACCAGGCGCGGTGCCTCCAGCTCTGGCAGGCGCGGGCTCAGCAGTCCCGGCGTGCAGCAAGGTGGCACCAGCACACCCTTCAGAGGCGGTAGGGACCCTGCCCCAGGATGGTGAGCCAGGCTGCCCACTACTCTCTGAATTTACTGTTTCCGGAAGGCCTCTTCCCCCTCAGTTCTTGGCCTTCACAGCAGCGCCCCCTTGGGGTCTTCATCCCAGAGGGCACCCCTTGCATGCCCCAGTCTCAGATCCTCTCAACTCCTCCTGCCCTCCTACCCTGCCCCTGCCCTGCTGAGAGCTGTATGCGGAATTGGGGCAGGGGGGTGGGACACTCATCAGGGTTATGATTGCAGAGATTTCACAGCTGTGGCTCATTCATTCATTCATTCATTATAGCCCAGTGCTTCAGAGTTTGTCTGCCTGGATTCTAATCCCGGCTTTGCCCCTCACTGGCTGTGTGATCTTGGGCAATCTGCATAACCTCTCTGTGCCTTCATCTCCCCATTTGTAGGAGGGCAGGGGGGTGGGACACTCATCAGGGCTATGATTGCAGAGATTTCACAGCTGTGGCTCATTCATTCATTCATTCATTATAGCCCAGTGCTTCAGAGTTTGTCTGCCTGGATTCTAATCCCGGCTTTGCCCCTCATTGGCTGTGTGATCTTGGGCAATCTGCATAACCTCTCTGTGCCTTCATCTCCCCAATTGTAGAAGGTAATAATAGTTCTTACTTCAATGGGGATCAATGAGGTAGGACACATGCCTCCCCTAGCACAGTGCCTGGCACAGAGCAAGCACTCCATTCCTAGCGAGGTTCAGCACTAGAGGTTGGTACAGACCTGGCATTGGAGGTCTGGGGTCCCCTCTTATCCCCATCACCTGTCATTGTGACCCTTGCAGGAGCAGTCCTCCCGCCCCCAGCAACGACTCTCCCCCAAGATGGGAACGGGGAGAAGAGTCACCCCAAGCCCCTCCCTGCGGCTGTGGGAGGAGTGGGCTGGGCTGACCCCCGGTGGCAGTGACGATCCTCAGGGTGGACACTCCTTTCCCAGCATCCTCCTCGGCTGGAGCCACTGGTCAATGGCCCAAGGGGCCCAGAGGAAGCTGGCTGCCCGCTGGGCCTGGGACCGGAGCTGCAGGGACGCGCTGGGCCTGTGGCGTTGGCAGGAGGCAGAGCAGTGGGCCCAGGAGCGGGGCCGGAGGCAAGTGCGAGACGCCCTGCAGCACTGGCACTCCTCCTGGCAGAGTGAGTGGGGGACTGGGACGGGCCCCACGGGTGAAGGAGGGAGGGCCAGGGTCCACCAGGAAGACCGAGGGGTCTGTATCCTCCAGCACAGAGTCCAACAGTGGGACCCCACAGGGCATGCCTAGGACCCGGGGGCATGGACACTGGTCCCAGGTTCACATCCCCACTTCCATTCCCTGGCAGTTGTGGACTGTAAGCAAGCTACTTAAGCCGAGTCTCAGCTTACTTACCTGTAAAATGGGGATGACAGCAGTAGCACCTCACGGGGGGTTGTGGGGATACTGTGAGACAGCCCACCAACGGGCTTGGCTCAGAACCCAGCTCCTAGCAGGGCTCTTGTTCATCTTCATCCCCGTCATCCTCACCTGACTTTCAGGAGGCGCAGCCCCCTCAGAGCCCAGCACAGGAGAGGGGGTCACTCGGGGTGTTTTAGAGGTGTCCCCTACACTCATACCGCGTACCGATGGGCTGGCGGCGGGGACTTGGTTGTTCTGGAAAACTCAGTGATGCCCTAACGCAGTGGTCAGCAAACTGTGGCTCCCGAGCCCCAGTTTGCTGACCACTGTGGCCTAGCCGGTTTGGCGCAGTGGACAGAGCATCGGCCTGCGGACTGAAAGGTCTCAAGTTCAATGCCGGTCAAGGGCACGTAGCTTGGTTGCGGCCACACCCCCATAGGAGGTGTGCAGGAGGCAGCTGGGCGATGTTTCTAACTCTCTATCTCTCTCCCTTTCTTGCTGTAAAAAATCAATAAAATATAAATTTTATTGATTTTTTACAGAAAGAACGGGAGAGAGATAGAGAGTTAGAAACATCGATGAGAGAGAACCATCGATCAGCTGCCTCCTGCACACCTCCTATGGGGATGTGGCCGCAACCAAGGTACGTGCCCTTGACCGGACTTGAACTTGAGACCTTTCAGTCCGCAGGCCGATGCTCTGTCCACTGAGCCAAACCGGTTTCGCACATAAAATATATATTTTTAAAAAACAAAAAGCTCAATGCTGTCCACAGGAGACAGTCGCCTCTCCAGCCCCATTGTCCAGCCGCCCAGGAAGGCGGGCCCAGTACTGCCAGGCCTTGTTTTTTAAAGAAAAGCTGGAAATCTAGATTTTCATGAAATTCTTGGGATTCCTAAACATCATCAAGAAATTTTTTAAAGAAGAAACAACCTCCTGAGTTGGGTTGGCTTGGTCAGCAGTAGCACACCTGTGACCAAAGCCTTTCAACCCAGACAGCGAGGGTGGCCTCCCCTGCTCCCACCTGGGTAGAGGGCAGAGGGCTGGCTAAGCTGGGCCCACGGTCACCCAGAGCCCGGGGGTGAGGCCAGAGTGAGCACCCAGGGCCAGGGGTGAGGCCAGGGTGAGCACCCAGGGCCAGGGGTGAGGCCAGAGTGAGCACCCAGGGGCAGGGCTGAGGCCAGAGTGAGCACCCAGGGGCAGGGCTGAAGCCAGAGTGAGCACCCAGGGCCAGGGGTGAAGCCAGAGTGAGCACCCATAGCCCAGGGATGAGGCCAGAGTGAGCACCCGGGGCCACTTCAGCCTCTCTCTGGCCACAGGGCAGCAGTGCCTGCATGACCGGTACCAGGGGTGGGTGCAGCTACGCCGGCAGGGCCTGCGCAGGGCCACGTTCCAGAGCTGGCGGCAGGCGGCAGCTCATCAGAGACACAGGATGGCCAGGCCAGAGCGGCTCGCACTGCAGAGGTGGGTGGGCCTGGCAGCGGGAGGCAGAGGGTCATCCCCACCCCGGGAAGAGCAGGGAGGGAGCCCATGGGGATGGGAGGCTGGGTTGCCCCTGCAGCTCTAGGGGAGTCCCCGCTGGAGGCCTGGGACCTGGGAAACTGGGGGTGGGGGTGGGGTGTGAAGGGAGACCCTAGCCTGAGCCGTAGAGCCATGACCACCAGCCTTCACTACCTGCTTTGTGCGGAGGTGGGGCTGGCAGGCCTCTCATCCCACATCCCCTCGCCCTCCTGGCTGGGTCAGTCCTTTGGTGTCAGAGGCTACAACTAAGATGGAGAGATGAGCTCCTCGGACACCCACCATCATCGTTGTCTCCACCGCGTGTTTGGGGGTCAGCACAGGGGGACTCTGTACACAGGGGCCAAACAGAGGGCTGGCATCTTAAATAGAGATGCTCCAGTAAAACATGCACTTAGTTCATCAATGCCATCGGAGAGCAGAGGGCACAGACGATGCCCGCTGTGCAGTTACACTCACCATTGTCCAGTGTCCCCACAGCCAGCTAACACCGCTGCAGGGCGGCTGACCCCTGTGCTTTCGCATCTGAAGGCCGTGCCCGTGTTGCAGGCCCCTCAGAGTCCCCTCACTGCCCCCCTGCCCCAGAGCGGGCTTGTGAGGGGAGACAGGGGCGGCTGTCCCAGGGGATCTGGGACTTGAAGCACAGCTGCTGGGCTCTCTCAGGCTCCTGAGCAGCATCT